AGTCTGGTCCTGCTGGACCTGACTGCAGGTCCTCCACCACCTCCCTTACCCATGGTGTCCCACAAGGTTCTGTGCTGGGGCCTCTGCTCTTCCTCCTCTATCTGCTTCCTCTTCAGCACATCCAGCAGGACCAGAACAGAACAGTCCCCTGCATCACTGTGAGTCAGAAGGTCATTAGAGACCCTAAGAAGAGCTGTTTCAGTAGAATGAGCTCTACAAAAACCTGACTGGAAGCTATCATAGATGTTATGTTCATCAAGAGCAACTGTGAGTTGTTTAGCCACAACCTTTTCCAAGATCTTGGAGATGAACGGAAGTTTAGAGATGGGTCTGAAGCTGCTATGGAGAGAGGGGTCGAGACTCGGTTTTTTAAGAAGCGGGTGGATTACAGCGTTCTTAAAGTAAGCAGGGACCTGACCAGAAACCAGAGAAGCATTAATTATAGAGAGCACGCTGGGACCGATGGACTGAAAAGCACTCTTAAACAAAGATGAGGGTAAGATGTCGAGGCAGCATGCAGAGGTCTTCATAGAGTTAACTAGTTTGGTTAACTCAGGCAAAGAAACAGGAGCAAAGCTATCAAGGATGATGGGCCTGGTTGGAGTCGGGAGAGGCAGCGATAAGGCTGAAGGAGAGATGCTAGATCTAACCTTATTGACTTTGTCCACAAAGAAAGACAGACAGTTCTCACAGTCTGCAACAGAGTGGATGGAGGCTGTACGAGAGGCAGGAGAGACAATACTGCTGATGGTGTTAAACAGCACCTTGGGGTTCCCTTAGCTCTGGGACACCAGTTCGGAGAAATAGGAAACCCTAGCGTCTCTGACTGCAGAATTAAAGGATGTCAGAAGATCTTTTAGGTGCAGCAGATGGACGTGGAGATGGGTTTTCTTCCACAAACACTCAATTTTTCTGCATTGACGCTTCAGGCTGCGAAAGCTGTCATTAAACCAGGGAGTCGGGTTCACTGCAGGAACTGATCTGGTTCTGACAGGACAGATATTGTCCAGAATGGAGAGGCAGTGCTCGTTGAATTGAGAAGTTAACGAATCTGGGTCGTTATCAGAAGAACAGGATGGATCAAAAGCAGCAGAAAAATTGCTTTAGTAAAAGATTTGGCGGGTTGGTCAATAGAGCTCCTGGCGGGTTGGTCAATAGAGCTCCTGCCTTGCATGCCGTTTTGCCATGACCTTACACCGGTTAGAATCCCAATTTATTTTCTTCTTTTTAGCTAAATTTGCCAGTTTACATTTTCAACCCTTTATTGATAAACAGTTTGAAATATAAGATTGATCTATTTTTTTTACTTTCTTTGCTTTTCTTTGTTCAGTTGAAGGCAAGGCAGCTTTATTTGTATAGCACATTTCAAACACAAAGGCAAGTGCTTTCCAGAAGCAAGTACAGCAAACACAATCAAAGAAATGTAGATAGTAGTTTCAGATTTAACAAACTGATAGTCAGGCAAAGTGAAAAGGATAGCAGTTACAGTGCAGAAAGTGCAGCATAAGAAACGTTTATCCAAAGGCTGCTGAATACATGAAGGCTTTTAATTTTCACTTAAAAGTTTTTAGAGTTGGGGCACATATGAGGTCATGAGGAGGCTGATTCCATCTGTGTGCAGCATAGTGACTAAAAGCAGCTTCACCCTGTTTGGGTCTGACCTGAGGTTCTACCAGATGACTGTTTCCCAAGGCTTTGAGACCCTGCTGGGTGTATATACTGGAAGGAGATCCAACATGTACTTTGATCCTATGCCATTAAGAGATTTATAGACTATTAAAAGCGCTTTGAAGTTGATTCTGTAGTTTACTGGTAAATAGTATAGAGATTTAAGAACAGGAGTGATGTGTTCATTTCTTTTGGTTCTTGTTAAGACTCTAGCAGCAGCATAATGAATAAGCTGCAGTTGTTTTACAGCTGTTTTGGAGAGACCGGTTAGATAACCATTGCAATAGGCCAGCCTGCTGGAGATGAACGCATGAATTAGTTTCACTAGGTTTTGTTTTGACATGAGACATCTGAGTCATGGTAATTGATGAAGATGATAAAAAAGCTGATCTAGTTATAGCTTTAATGTGAAGCTCAATTCTGAATCAATGGTAACACCAACATTTCTAACCTAACATTTATTCCTTTGGAGCTAAGTTGAGAAATAACTTCCATCCTATCCTTAGTTCCAAAGACAATAACTTCAGTCTTGTCTCATTTTAACTGAAGGAAATTAGATTGCTTCCAGTCATTAACTTGCTCTAGACACTGACAATGGGAGTCTATGGGACCATATTCATTAGGTGATAGAGCTAGGTAGATCTGGGTGTCATCTGCGTAACTACGGTAGGTGATGTTGTTATTGTTTATGACCTGGCCCAGTGGGAGCATGTAGACATTGAAAAGCAGTGTTCCAAGAATCGAGCCTTGGGGGTCACCGCATGTCAAAGGGATTAGCTTTGATTTGTGTTCACCAATGGAAACAACATAATTCCTATCTGTGAGGTATGATTTGAACCAATTATGGATGGTGCCTGCAAGTCCAACCCCGTTCATTAGTCTATTAAAAAGGATGTTGTGATCCACAGTATCAAAGCTGCACTGAGATCGTGCATCACTGAAACAGATGTTTTGCCTGAATCTGTTATAATACAGCGCATTGTTTCCTTCACATAGGCGTTGCCGTCGCGGCCCGCCATAGCTAAAATCCTAGTGCCACACCTACAAGATCCCAAGTTTTATTTTATTTTTTTGCGCTATTTCCCGAAGAAGCAGCGGGAACTACTCTGTTGTTGCTTGTGATCACAGCCGGTAGGCAGCAAGGAGGAGGAGGCAGGGCAAGGTGAAGTTACAGCATACGTTACTGAATTCAAATTAGAAAGGTAGCAGTGGATATAATACATCTAACACTGTATTACGGTGTGAGCGCCAACTGAACAGCGACAACTTAAGATCGATGTGTGAGCAATGTGTTTTGTTGGATCTGGTGTGGGTGGAGTTCTGGCACTGTTTCCAAGGATCCTTTGTTCTCATTGGTTGCTTCGTCGGGCCCCATGATGCTTTGTGGGTTATGTAATGAATGGGTGGAGCTCAGGGCGCTGGAGGTGGGATTCCACTAAATCGAAGCATTTCATCTCCAGGTGCAAAGAATGGACTGACAAAAATAACTCCTATTTAAGTTAAAAATACATCTCAATAGTGCCAACGGTAAATTTTCATCAAATACTGTGCCTGCCATTGCTCTAAGAGGTTTAAAATGGCACGATCAGTCTCCTTTAATTTATTTGAGCTCTTTTATAATTAAAAATATTTTAGGAGCAAATTTGAAACTCTGCACTCATACTGTTGAATTTTTAATGGTGTTTTATTTTCTGTTTATTCAGGGGTCAACCTGCATGTGGGAATAACTAAAAGGTATAAAAAATATTAAACACTAGATGTTCTAATATTTGCTTCAGGACATTTTGAGTAGGTTAAAGCCCTACTTTTCGATGATAAAAGTGGACAAATTGGAGGAATCAAATTCTTAATTTACTGGTGAGGAAGATAATGATAATAATAATAATTATTACATTTTTTAACTTAATTTAAACAGTAATTTGTAATAGGTCAGTTGACCCCTCAATCATCAAAATTCCAGAAAACATTTTAACAAATATAATAAAAGATTAGTTGAAACTCACCTCTAAAATAGTACCTTTAGTTAAAGAATAGCTAAATGAATGTAGGCTATATGCAAATACAAACTAACTTAAATGAAAGGAAGAGCTACAGCTACTACGCTGCTAACAACCACACCTGTGTGTGACATAACACAGAGTTCTAACAGGTGGGACAAGTATACATTCCACTGGTGTGGACTACTACTCATCATTCAAAGCTGCCGCAGGAACATCTAGACCTTCTGACCCAGAGGTCCACTTATGGTCTGAGAGCATCTTCATCAGTCTGAGTTGGATCTCTGATTCTGGTCATGGTTGTGGTCCAGCCTGGCTTGTTGTTTTAGATCCAGTGCATAGAGAAGATGGGACATAATGTTGTTGAAGAGACAGATCCTGACCTTTGTCGCTATGTCTCTTTGTCTCCGAGTCTCCATCGGTTTTTTTTCTTGGTTAATTAGCATGGGAACAAAGATTAGTAATAAACAAGCACTGAACACTGAAATATTTATAGCTTTAGCTAATTTGCATGTCCCCAGTTAGGGGACACAAACTGTTCAAAGGAGACATATTCAACTTTTAGCATCATTTTGTGTTGCCATGTGGGTCTCTGTTGTCTCTATAAACGCAAATAAAACCTGTCCATCCCTTTTGTGTTGGTTTTAAAATATCATTCACTTACATAAGATTAATTAACCTTAAAGACTATAATTAAAATATCAACGTTAACACAAATCTTTAAACGGTCTAAAAACGAACCACAATAAAGCCAGCACCACCTTAGAACTGTCTTCTCTAAGCAGTCGCCTCCGCCCTAAGCTGAACATGTGCCTGTCTGGAACCAGTTTCTAGTCCTTGAGCCAAGCATTCCACATTTTAATGGCTCACACAGAAAAAGCTGTTTGACCATAGGAGGTTTTTCCTGGATGTGCTACGAGTGACTAATGGTCCCTGAGCACCTGAGGAGCATGACTTTTCAAATATTTAAAACTCAGTAAGACATCATAAAACCTAACTAAGCATTAACCATATTAACTTGTTTTTCAAATTTGAAATGGGAATCCAGAACCAAGAGGACCAGAGACCAAAATATTTCACTTCTGAAAACTGCTTAATGTGTTAGTCGTTAATCTTCAGTCATAAATCAGATCTACTGGTAACAGACCAGGAACTTGCAGAAAAGCAAAATATAACATTTAGAGAGGATGTGAACTTTTAAACCATGCTGTGATGGAATCTAGATACCAGGAGAGCTGAAGTGATGTCTTTACCTGCACCAAGACAGGCTTCAGGCTAATTGTTTGTGTACAGGCCGAACATTAGTGGATGTCTCTGTCTCTGGATGTACCTCAGGATGGAGATGAGACTTTCAACCGGGCCAAGCTGCTGAACGTAGGTTACCAGGAGTCTCTGAAGGACAAAGATTACAACTGCTTCGTGTTCAGCGATGTGGACCTTATCCCCATGGATGACCGGAATACCTACAAATGTTTCAGCCAGCCAAGACACCTGTCCGTATCCATGGACAAGTTTGGCTTCAGGTGAGTGTGAGACACAGGTTTTACTGGATTCAAGTCTGTTAGAGTTCAGAGTACATATAAACAAAACTTTATTATAAATATGAATAAACCTATTTTATATTATTTTAGGTCGGTGGTGGTCGTTCATTTTCAGACTTCCAAATGTATGGTAGATTTCTGACATGACCTGAGTGTGTTCACACGTTTGTTTAGTGCTGTCCTAGCAACAGAAGCTGAACTCTGTTGGTGCTGAGGAACTGTTAACAAATGAGACCATCCAGATAAAACCATGTCTTAGTGGCTGTCAGGAAACACAGGAAGTGCTGACATAGATAGAACTGAAACAGCACAGTGAGCACACACTGTTTCCTGTTTACCACCACTCCATTTCATAGCAGCTGCAGTTTGAAACTTCTTATATGTTCTCATGAACACAACCTGAAAACGGCTCCAGAATCAGGAATGGTCCCAAGTTAGTTTCCTTCCACTGCAGGATCAAAGTGTCACCTTTTACCATGTCTTGTCTCCATGGGAACAGATGTAGCACCACTGAACACAGGGTCAGGTTCTGCTCCCAGATCAGAAATTAAATCATAGAAAAGCAGCTCCTCTCACCCCTACTACACGCTGGAAGCATCGGCGCGAAAAGGCACTGCTTCAAATAGAATCCATGATAGTCTCTGGATTGTGTTAAACCAGCCACGACGCAGCAATTTTCAGACGTGTCCCAAAATCTGCGTGCCGCTAAAGATAGGATAAGGTTACATTTTTCAGCGAGCCACTTCTGGACACATTAATTTCCTCAGTGTAGGGTTAGACAGGAAATCACACACGGTTTCAGTGTAAAATCTCCGGTAAATTTCTAAATAAACGTATTGCAGCGATGCAATGTCATATTTAGGGCTTATGTGTGATCTAATAGTTTATTTACTCACAGCATTGTTTCAGAAGTGCAGCGGTGTGTTTTCATGGCTTTAATCCTGGCAGTGAAGAGGAACAACATCATATATGACATCAAACAGCAATAACAACATCATTTCCTTCTTTTTGGTTTCATGGCGAATTGTATAAACATATCGTAGCCTTTGAAGTCCCGAGGGATTTTGTGATCTTGCGAGTTGAGCAAGGAGCACAGCAGAGAAACCGCTTCACTGCTGAGACTCTCTCGGTGTGCTCTGGAGTTCGCTGCCGTTCTGCGCCGCTGAAGCTTTCAGTATGCAGGCGGGGTCAGGATCAGGAAGTATATATTTGGCGATGAATGGACAAAATAAGGTTTCATTACTTGAGGACTGTCTCCGATGCAAAGGGGTGGTTGGCAGCATGTTTCCTTAGACCTAATGAGACAAAGACTGAGGCCATTCTTTTTGACCCTAAGAATCTGCTGAGCTCCACCGTGACCCCAGCCATTCCAGGTTTGGAACTAAAAGGGTGCGTCTCAAGCCTCTGTGTGAAACTGGATGCTGAATTTACAATGGTCCCTCAGATCAATGCTTTGTAAGAGCGTATTTCTTTCAGCTTCGGTGAGCGGCTCGCCTAAGGCCGATTTTGGAAAGGGTGCATTTAGAAACTGCTATACAAACGCCCACAAACGCTACAATGTGAAAGTCAAAGGAGCTCAGCATGGATCTGAAAAAGCGAATTATTGACTTGAACAAGTCAGGAAAGTCACTTGGGGCCATTTCAAAGCAGCTGCAGGTCCCAAGAGCAACAGTGCAAACAATTGTTTGTAAGTATAAGGTGCATGGCACTGTTTCATCACTGCCAAGATCAGGAAGAAAACGCAAGCTATCACCTGCTGCTGAGAGAAAATTGGTCAGGAGGGTAAAGAGTGAACCAAGAATCACCAAAAAGCACTTCTGCCAAGAATTAGAAGCTGCTGGAACACAGGTGTCATTGTCCACAGTCAAACGTGTTTTGCATCTCCATGGACTGAGAGGCTGCCGTGCAAGAAGGAAGCCCTTGCTCCAAAAGCGGCACCTTAAGGCTCGACTGAAGTTTGCTGCTGATCACATGGACAAAGATAAGACCTTCTGGAGGAAAGTTCTGTGGTCAGACGAAACAAAACTCGAGCTTTTTGGCCACAATGCCCAGCAATATGTTTGGAGGAGAAAAGGTGAGGCCTTTAACCCCAAGAACACCATGCCTACAGTCAAGCATGGTGGTGGGAATATTATGCTGTGGGGCTGTTTTGCTGCCAATGGAACTGGTGCTTTACAGAGAGTAAATGGGATAATGAAGAAGGAGGATTACCTTCACATTCTTCAACATAACCTAAAATCATCAGCACGAAGGCTGGGTCTTGGGCGCAGTTGGGTGTTCCAACAGGACAATGACTCCAAACACACATCAAAAGTGGTAAAGGAATGGCTAAATCAGGCTAGAATAAGGGTTTTAGAACGGCCTTCCCAAAGTCCTGACTCAAACCCAATTGAAAACATGTGGACAGTGCTGAAGAAACAAGTCCATGTCAGAAAGCCATCAAATTTAACTGAACTTCACCAATTCTGTCAAGAGGAGTGGTCAAAGATTCAACCAGAAGCTTGCCAGAAGCTTGTGGATGGCTACCAAAAGCACCTAATTGAAGTGAAAATGGCTAAGGGACATGTAATCAAATATTAGCACTGCTGTATGTATATTTGTGACCCAGCAAATGTGATCACTTTTCTCTGTTAACCCATAATAAAGACATTAAAGAACCAAACTTCATGAATGTTTTTTGTGACAAAGAAGTATCTGTTCCAATCACTCTATCAGAGAAAAATCAGAGTTTTAGAAATAACGGGACACTCAGTAGAGCCATTATATTATATTTTTTACAAGTGTATGTAAACTTCTGACCACAACTGTATGTAGCTCCCATACTCTGGAATGCACTGCCACTCACCATCCATTGGTGTTTTCAAGTCACCCCTGAAGACTCACCTCTATAATAAGGCTTTTAGATTGTGATTTTTTATCTTTCCTTTTTTTGCTGGTTTTATTGGCCTTTGTCGTTCTTTATCTGTTTGCTGTATTCTGTCTGTTATATCTGCAATTGTATGTTTCTATTTTTATGTTGGGAGGCGATTTAGTCAGTTCTCATGCTGTTTTTAAATTTGCCATATAAATGAATGTGGTATGGTAATTATCCCAGTCATACAGACCTGGCCGGAGTGTGAAAATTCTGTCTTCATCTCTCAGACCGTACCAGATCTGTTGGACTGAAGTGAGAAGAAAATTCTGGAGGGATTCATCAGAAGCAGATTTGTTTCTGTCAGTCTTACTTCCTGTTTGTCTGCAGCAGTTTATTTTCTGATTACCTGGTTTGTTGTAGCTGATTCCAGGTGAATTTACCTGTCAGGTATTTGGCCGCTGCTGTTTATACCCAGAGTTCAGATGCAAGTCAACTCTGTGTCCTCCCATCAGGTTACCCTACAATCAGTACTTTGGAGGGGTTTCGTCCATGAGCAAAGGGCAATACTTGAAGATAAATGGTTTTCCCAACAACTACTGGGGCTGGGGAGGGGAGGACGATGACATCTACAACAGGTAAACCTCACTGTGACACACACACACAAATTACTTTCCTTTAGAAGGAAATGCATGTTTATAAATACTGAAAATGGATTAAATCAGGTGCAAATTATAGACTAAAGGCCTCAGATAGAAGAAAACATTCCTGTCTTCTCTGAGCTACAAATCTACATGACTGCGGCTAAAAGCTCAGACTGAAGACTGGAGTTCCCGAAAATGTTCTCCTGTGGGAAATTGAGGAAACAACTCATAAAAGCATGTCTTTGTCTAGGAGTCTAAAGCACAATCTCTTGACTAGCTCTTTTGATTATCCTGAAAGAGGCTTTCCCTCTCCTCTTCATCTCCTAATCCTCCTGGGATCGGACAGAACTTTTTGAAATTATGTAGAAGATAACAGGACAATGATATTTTTGGTTCTGGTACATCCTTCCTGTCTTCATCACCTGCTGCTTTCTTCAGGCTGGCCTCCAAAGGAATGACCATCTCCAGACCCAGTGGAGACATAGGGAAATGTCGCATGATTCGGCACAACAGAGACAAGCAGAACGACCCAAACCCTCAGAGGTACCAACACCCCTGCGGCCACTGAGCCACACTCTGACCCCTACAGGTCTGTTTTTATGGTTCTGCTTGTTCTTGTCCCAGGTTTGATCGGATCGCCCACACCAAAGAGACGATGAACAAAGATGGCATCAACTCTCTGAGCTACAAGCTGATGAGCGTGGAGAAGCTTGACCTGTTCACCAAGATCACCGTGGATGTGGGCAAGCCCTGAGCAGTAGAGCAGGAGTGATGGGACAGGATGGAACACTGAGCCTTTAATACCACATGCTGACAATGACACTTGAAGCTTTAAGTTGCAGTTCTGGTTCTCCTGAACTGGACTTCTATTGTCCTTGTTGTTGCACAGACTGACAAATCCTTTAGAACTTTTCTCTGACTGGTCAGCTGGAACTAATCAGATGCTGCTGCAGCACATCCTGAAAATGACAGAAACTTTCAAATCATTGGACCTTGAGAATCACATGGTTGGTGGAGGGTTGTGGGAAATAGATATGGTGAGGTTAGACCTGGTCTGGTTCTGGATGGGACCAGCTGCTTCCTGGTTTCTGATCTTGGCAGAATCCTCAAAATCTGTTAGCATGCTGAGCATTTAACTGATTGGAAAAATTAGGATTTAAGTTCAGGACTGTTGTCTGGATAGAAAATTTTGCTCCATATTTGTGAAGTGAACAGGTCTTGGACCATTGTGGTTCTGCTCTTATTCTCCTGACAAACAGATCACCGTTTTGATTCTTAAAAAAATCTGGTCCTTACCAGCTCTAGCACAGATCTCTGATCCATGACAACTCGGCTGGAATTTGGTTTTTCTGAGGATAAAAATGTTTTTATTTTTTAGAATTTTCCAACAAAAAAAAATTCTGATAAGGCATTGATAATTTGTTCAGATGTGGTTAACAAACTGGATCAGTGAGCTAATTATCAACAAATTCAAAATCCAGTTTGAAAACCAGATCAGGAACCAATTACCAAACCGAATAAGGAACTGGATCTAACTGGTTAATCTTCAGCTTCAGTTCAGAGCCAGATTTAAACTTTAGACTGAGTGTGCACGTTTTCTTATCGGCGGTCAGTTTAAACCAGGGAACAATAATTCTAATCCTAGTCCAGTTCCTGGTGGATCTCCGAGTGACTGATGGTTGGATTCTCCAGAACACCAGCAGGATAATTATGATTATCAAGATAGTTTATTGATTTTTGATTAAGTGGCCTTAATACAGCTGTTGGTACCAAATACTTTATTGATCTTGTGACTTCAGTTGGCTGAACGAGCTTGTCTGATTATCGACGGCAGATATCAATCAGTGTGTGTGTGCGTGCGTGCTCTCTGAATGTCTACTGGTCAATTCTGTTTCCGTGTTTAGCTGCAGACCAAAACTGTGTGAAACAATTGCCTATAATGTGCCTTAAAGTCTACCAGTAGCAACTGGTCCTGATGATAAATATAAAAGCTAAGTGTTTTTTGTCTCTCCAGTTTATCGGTGCTGATCCACTGAGATGGAATAGTGTTCTCTTTTAAACGAGTTGTTGATGGTCAACCAGCTGTTTTATAGTTTAGATAGTGAAACACACCTAGAACCCCTGGTTGTCATAATAAAACAGAACAAATGCAGATGAAACAATAGAATTCTGGTCACCAGGCTCCTCTGAAGATAATCCACTTTAATCTCAAGGGCCCTGAGACACCATCACATCAAATACACCTGGTGGTGAAATATTTCAACAGAAACTTGTCCCCTGGCATATTACAATTAACACGTTGCCATAAAAATAATCTGAGTGCATCGCTAAATTAGGTGCCTACTTACTAAATGTGAGCACAGCTTTGGTCTAAAACGATCACGAGTGCCGCTTTACTACTTCAAAAGAAAGTAGTCCCGCATTCAGTCAGCAATCAGAATAAAACGCGGGTCTAGTTAAGAAGAAAACCCTTTTATGTCCCAGATGGTGATGCACTTAAATTAGAAATTAGTTTCTGAAGTTGAAAATGGATTGTTTGAAACAAAAATATTTTCTAATTTCACACTGAACATGTCAAACCTGTTTGGGCTGGATCCAGCAGTTTTAAGACTTGTTGGATTTGATCTGTCAGGTTCCCTCCAGGCACCAAATTCACCTGCCTGAGACTGCAGCTACATCATTCCATCATCTCAGCTTTGAATTCCACTGGAATGATCCTTAGAACTAAAATCCACTGTTGGATGTTTAAACACAAGTTCTAAAGATCAAACACATGTCTCCACAGTGATGGCTCCTACCTGTCATGAAACTTTTAACCAATAAGTCACCCTGTTCCAAACAGAAATAAAGCTTATTTCCACCAAAGTTATAAACAAGTTAATGAATAAAATGAGTAAAATATTATGAGGGGGAAGCCTACAGCCCCCCCTTCTGGAGCTTCCTGAACTGTTCCCGTCTCTGCGGTGCTGTCAGGGTGTCACAGCTCTGCAGGAGATTGGAGATGATCAGAGTCTGCTGGATGGTGGATGCTCGGACCCAAATCCGACCGTTCATTCCCACCACCAGCTCACAGGGGAACAGCTGTTCCAGGTCAGACCGGATGTCACTTTGGGGGGCCAGCAGCCTGTTAGGGAGGGAGAAACGAGAGCACGACCAGAGCTGTTACCATGTCAGAACTCAATGTTGGGTCTTTGTAACAGATTAACTTTGTCCTGTTGATAATCACTCACAGATACATGCAGGAGTTAAGAGGCTCTTGTTCTGATTTAGAACAGCTGCAAGACACTCACAGAAGCTGTTCTGTCAGAGGATTCTTTATTACCCAACACTGGACTTATGAGTCAGAATAGGCCACTCCCTCTGGCACATATGGTTCAATTAAAAATGGAACTAAAGACAAACTGACCCAGTTCTCAGACAATGACCTCTGCTTCAGTTTCAGACAAATTCTCTTTAAATAACCTGGGTCTTGTTCCAGAACCATCAGGACTAAATATGTGGTTCTGTGAGAACTTCACACCTTTGCAAGTAAATTGATGTCTGTAGATGAAACCCAACTGTAACAGAACCCGGCCTTTGACCCAGTCCTGATACTCATCCAGAAGCTCCTGCTGGTTCAGAGTTTGTCAGTCAGACAATGAAAATGTTGGGTAATGTTACCTTCTAACGAGGCCCAGAGAGACTTTGAGGAGCAGACCACCTCCTCCGAAAACACCCATCCCGTTGGCCCGGCCCGATCCGTCGATACACACCAGCTCTGGTTCCATGTCTTTATTGGCTACAGTGAACTGAGCGAACACCAGGTCTCCAACCTGCACAGGGAACACACAGAGGGCAATACATAAGCTGATCTGGTCCAATAAGGACAGTGCACCAAAGTACTGATAGTCCAGAGGGACCCAAAAGGTCCTGAGCCATCAGACATGCAGCATTCAAACACACCATGTAGGCACAAATCAGTCAGGTGAGAAAATGAGTCTCAAAAGGATTTTTGCACTTGTAAACTGATCTGTGTGTAATGTAGTTTTGTCCGTGTGTACTAAGTGATTTGTGTGTGTGTGTTTATTTAATGATCTGTATGTGTAGGAACTGAAGTTACACACGAAAATGTAAACAAGTTACAAATCAAGAGTTATACATGCTTAGATCTATCTACACACACACACATCTAGATACACACACACATCAAGATACACACAGACACAGATTTTTTTGAGACTTTTTTTCTTCCCATAAGACACCCAGCATGACTAAACGATCAGGTGTACTTCCTGTTGGTCCCGACACGTTCCATACTGGGTCAGCGTAAAAACAATACATCAGAACTCTTCTTTCAATCCTCTACAGTGATCATATGTGTGTCTGTGTGTTGCATGCTTGTGATTTTGGGGTCACAAGGGACACAGAACTCCTAAAAACAGCTGACGGGTCCCCCAAATCTGGACTCTAAACATGACTCACTTGTTTCAAGTAGAAAAAAACTGTCCCCTGAGTCTCACCTGGACATTGGGTCTGTTCCTCTTTGTAGCTCCTTCAAAGGCCAGATAGGACAAAGATGCCTGCTCACTGCCTCCAACGTCCACCTTAAAGATGTCCCCAGACTTGGATGTCACAATACCAATGACCGTCTCTGCTTTGGCTGGGACATACTGAGGACAGAAGTTTCAGGTGGTGAGTGGATAGAACATGCTGCTTGTGCCAACGTGACCAGTTTACCTTTCCATAATCGTTACCGGATGAAACAGTATAAAACACCACTGCAACATAAACCTAACTTCACCCTAGTTTAGTTTTGTAGAAAGTTTCAAACTTTGACTTCCTTCAGACTTCCGGTACATTAACTTTTTAATTTTATATACGATCACAACAAAGTGTATAGAACAATAAAAATAACCATTAACAAGGAAACGAATATTCAACAGATCTGAATATGAAATAGATAATAAATGATAAACTTTAGGGTATAAAAAAGTTAACACATCGCAAATGTATGGATAGGGGGACAAATAACTAAAAACACATGTAATTTCCGCCGGGTTTTTCATCAGTGAGAACTCTGAACCTTGTCTATTAGCTCTCACGGTTCTGTTCTGACAGGTTCGGCCGCGAGTCCAGTCTGGACCGGTCGGTACCCACCCTCCACTGCTGTGAGTCCATCCAAAACGTGTGCGGTGGTTTGTGCCTCAACACGCCGCTCTTGCTCACCACCAGCCGGTTTCCGCTCTGCCGCAGCCCCGGTCCACACACCGGCCGCTCTGGCTTCACATTGTCTGTTAGAAAAATTGTCTCCTCAGACTCGAAGACAAATTCATCTCCAGGTAAAAGAACTTCACCGATTTTCTCCTTCAGACTTGAAAACATACCGCTAGCTAGAAGAAGTCTGGACCTCTTGGTTCTGTTCTGGATCCGACTCAGAGCGCCCCCTGCTGCTCAGGAGGAGATAGACCTCCGGCTCAGCTCGCTCCCTGCTGCTCAAGAAGAGAACTAGACCAAACTCTTGCTTTGCAATAAAAAATATAAATAATATATTTATTTAGTCTGGCTAATTTCTGAATACTGAAGGAGATCCTTCTGGAGCTTTGCCGTGATTTGGGACCCTTTATGGAGCGGCAGACAAACCGCATGAATCTGATTCCAGTCCACACTGAATCTTTTAAAACTATAGAAGCGACTGACCCCAGAACCTCCTCAGCGTTTTTATCAGTAAGGGCATGTCTAAGTGGGCTATTGACACAAAATTTGCTCCAGATGTTGCTATAAACCCATATATGGAATTCACACAAAGAAATCAGGAAGTACAAGGTGAGTTATAATAAATAAAGTGAAATGACAGGGAACCGGTCACTCTGAATTTTTCATGCAGGCTGAACATGAAAACAGTCTTCTACACCTATCTCCTGCATTAGCTTCTGATAGAAAATAGACTGTGAAATGCTAGGATTTGAAAATCCTCACATATCTATGTCACAGTGTGAACTGGCCGAGCCTATCTTTGCTCGTGCATGCACAGGATGGCTTTTTTAACTTTTTTACAGTGAGGAGAGAGAACGGAGAGTGTCTTGGTGATAGTCACTTTGTAACATGGCTGAACATGTTCTGTTAGCCAGTCAGAAGAGAGGTGCGTGTCAGTGGCGTGTCCAGATCTTTTAAAATGGGGTGGCCTAGGTGATGCACTACTTTGTGCATGGGTGGCACCAATGGTTATGCTTTTTTACATTTTTTTTACCCCAAGCCTTTTGTGGACAATGAAAAGCCTATTTAAAGGGATTTCAGTGTGGTGGCACCTGGGGTGGCCAATCAGATTCCAAGGGTGGCATTTGCTACCCCAGGCTACTCCCTGGACACGCCCCTGGTGCGTGCATATTTTTAATAATATGAGTATTCCTGCTGTTTTCAGCCCACCTCAATGATTAAAAAGTTGGACATGTCTCCTTCACCCTCCATCCAGAAAGCAGCTAAGTGTTATCTTAGATGTTTCCATGTTGTTAACTAGGTACTTTTAGGATTTAAAAAGTCAAGAAGGGGGTCTGAATAGCTGTTAGAAATAGCAACAAAGTTGCTAAGTGGGCAACACTGTGGGGGTGAACACTTGATTTGCAACTCGGAGCAGTGCAAGAGGAAGGAGCAAATAATCGGCTTGTTTTGTTTTTATAATCGTTCAAAACTTAAGTCATAATTGGGAATAAAATTTGATTAAATGTGCAGCCCTAGTAGAGATTTAAGAACAGGGGGTGATGTGTCATGTTTTGAGGGATGTGTCTAACCCAAGACATGCAGAATCAACCATGAACACAGAATGATAGAAAAAATAAGATTTATTTTGGATAAATGATAATTAAAAGTACACTGGGAATTCCAGTGGTCAGGAGCTGGGATCACAGTGTCTGGAGGGGGAGAGCAGAATCAGGTGAGTCCTCGGAAGTAAGTCACTATCGGATGTTGTAGTTGCAGAGACTTACTGAGTGGACGGGAATAAAAGGCAGAGGGGAAGGTAATGAGCCAGGGTGGATCCAGGGGTCCAGGAATGGAGAGGGAGCGTGGCGAGAGAGCGGGTTTGTCTAGAGAGATGGAGGAACGTGACAGAGAGATCCAGGAGTCCTATGGAGTAGTGGTGATGTATCCAGAAGTGCAGAGACCTGAGGCAGGTGAGCAAAGGCACACAATCACACAAGATTTAAAAACACACACAAATACCAAAAAACCTAAGGTCGAGTCGAAGGGCTGGAAACTACCAAACAGTAGCAATCATCCGGCGTCGAGCTGTGGTCTCCATCCACCTTATGTACCAGACCCGCTGATTGCTGATCCGGCACAGCTGGAGCCTCGCCTTCTCCCTCTCCTGAAAACACACACTCACAGATGGATTAGTGAGAGGAGTACTCACCCCGGCTCATGACATGATGTGCTCGGCTCTTTTGGTTCTTGTTAAGACTCTAGCAGCAGCATTCTGAATAAGCTGCAATTGTTTAACAGCTGCTTTGGGAAGACCAGTTAGAATAGTCCAGACTGCTGGAGATGAACGCATTAGTTTCTCTAGGTCTTGCTTTGACATGAGACCTCTGAGTCTTGCTAATTGATGGAGATTATGATGAGCATAGTAAGTAGCCTGGCAAGCCAGACTAAATAAATGTATTATTTAGCTCTGTGATTTGTTCACTAAGCAGATAGAGCACTATGATTGGCCCACCATTATGGACCAATCACAGCTCTTTATGTGTTTGAAACCCCTCTAGAGAGCTGTGATTGGCTAGCCAGAGTCCTGGTAGGAGCTGTGGAAGTTCCAATGGAGCGTGTCTAGACCAAACTTTGCAAAGCAAGAATTTGGTCTAGTTCGCTACTAGTAAGTGCTCCCTACCGTGAAACACCCGTAGTACCAGATGACAATGTATTTATCTACTTATCAACTAGTCAGTTGTGTATGATTCGTCTTTGCTTGTTTTCAAATCGACTGATGCCGATCCTTAAGCCTGATTCATGCTTCTCCGTCTGAGTCAGTGCGGAGACACACAACTTCCTTGCGGACCTGCCGGAGAGCCCAGCAAGGACGGACGGAGTCGAGCTCTCTTTTCTAAACATCCGTCAGTCGAGACAGACAACACAAGCTTGTGATTGGTCAGGACGCCGCTGTTGTCTACAGCGCCGCCATTGCGCCCTCAAAAACATAAAGAGAGCCGAGGATAACAAGCGGCAGACACGGAGAAGCTTGAAGAATACCTCGCGAAAAAACTCTAAAAACATGGACGTTTAATTCTCCCGTGACTGGAGGAGTGAAAAGATGCGCAGCAAGCGTTTTATTTGTGGACGGAAATGACAGGAAACATGGGTTTAGAGCAGGGGAGCACATGAAGAGGTGGAGGAGAATGAGAGACAAATTTGTCTGTGTTAAAAGTCTCTTATATACAAAAAAAACATACCGGTAATATAAACACACTATCTTGGACCGGATACATGACAGGATACCACAGAACAGCGCTACGCCCTCTGGTGTCCTGCAGGGCAATTGCTTTGCAACACTCTCCAGGAGACGGAGAAGTATGAGAGCAAAACGCTTCCGTCAATCCGTGCGTGTCTGTCCCTTGCGGAGCTGACGGAGAAGCATGAACCAGGCTTTACTTAGGAAACAGGAGTGAGAGAGTGATTGCTGTAAGCAAATTTGACCACAGGATGGCCTCTTACCTTATTCTTACACACTGCACCTTTAATAAATGTGAGTTCTCAGGAGTATGGTTCTTGGCTGGATCAGGGGGGCTTTCAAACAAGATTAGGTCAAGGGTATAAACTAAGACTGGGTTGGGAGTTTAAATAGAATTGGATACTTTAGGCTGTAGTGGGTCAGGATTTTGAATCAGAAATAACTGTATGAGAGTCCATACAGAGTTGAACTACTGTTGGTTTATCAGAAGAAAATGTGCTATCTTTCTGCTGAGCCCCTTTACTCGCTCTGTCCACCATCTTGTTCTTTTCACTCCCTGGATCATAAAACTTAAAAATTTTAAACAAAAACTACAAAACTACAAACACGCATAGAAACGCGCTGACGTCAGAGCCGTACGTCACTGTAGAGGAATGTGCGGAAACTTCTATGTACTTTTCTGTGTGCGCTGTCCGTCGAAGATAAAGGCTCCGGAGGCGTAAAAAGTTGGGAAAAGTATCGGAAAGTTCGGAGGTGAGAATTTGGAGATTGTGTGTGGGGGCTCCGGACCGGAGCGCGACCCGGTTCGAGCTTTTTCCTGGGTTGGAGTGGCTGGAAAGTTCCAGGCAGTTTTGAGAAAATGGAGGCGAGGAGGAGAAGAGGCTGGCGCTGTCCGGGGCTGATCAGGACCATGGCTAACACTCCGGGACTCGGAGCCCAGAGATCAGACCCGGAGCCCTGGAGCCTGAACCGACAAGCTCTAACACACCGTTCTGCCTTCAAGCAGACTCAGAAATCGGGTTCCGATAACCTTTTAGAGAGAAAGTCCGAGCTGGCAGGGCTGGTTGCTGAAATCTCAGCTGCGTCGTTTCATGGTAAAACTCCGGATCCGGTTCAGGATCAGCCCCGAAATCCCGATTCAGCTCTGGATCTTCGGTCCAAAATGTTTTCAAAACTCTGAGCTCTTTGTGCCCGCGTTCCGGAAGAACTGTTCACTTAAATAAACTTTTTTTTTTCATTTTAACTTCTGCTCGTGTTTTCTGAGACGTATCAGCTTTTCCTATTTTAGTTTCCACGTTTCAGCTTTTTGTAACTGTGCCATCTCGGTTCGGTTCCTGCGTGGCAGCTGGAATCTTCTCACTAGTTTAGGGCGGCGAGGCGCTGTCGACCGAACAGTGGTGCTGCTTCAAGATGGACGACGATCCTTAGATCACATCGGCTGTAGGGACCCTCCAGACTAGATCACATCAGCCGGAAGGACATTGCGTGAAAGGAGGGGGCCAGTTTAGTGGTTAGCAGGTTTAAGTTTGACCTCTCACCATCGCCACAGACTTGGAGACTGTGGAACAGAAAAAGTGTCTTTAACAACTTACCATATAAAACACACATTAGAACTCCCCGAATGGCCTCTGTTAAGAAAAATAGAGATTGTCAGCTTGTCGTGACTTCCACTAAGACCAATGAAGTAATTTTCATTTAAAAAGTTTGAGTGTGTGTGTCGGAGGTGATGAGGATCCAATTTTTTGACTAATCTTTAAAAAAAAACTTTCTACAACGTTTCTAAAAACGTTGTAGAAAGCCACTTTAAACTTTCTAAAAAATGTGTGTGTGTGTGTGTGGGGGGGGGGGGGGCATGTCCACCCTCACAAATGCTATTAATGTCTAAAGCATAATTTATACTTCTCTGTCAGCTCCACAAGGGAGAGACACGCACACACAGATGAGACATTTTGCCTTCAGAACTCCGTCTCCTGCGGAGTGTTGCAAAGCAATTCCTCACCAGGACAGCAGAGAGCGTAGCGCTGTTCTGTGGTACCCTGTCATGTATTCAGTCCAAGATAGTGTTTTTACTATTGTGTTTATATTGTTTTTTTTGTATTTAGGAGACTTTTTAATATGGACAAATTTGTGTCTTATTCTCCTCCACCTCTTCAGGTGCTTGCCACCTCTAAAGCCACGTTTCTCATTATTTCCGTCCACGAATAAAATGCTTGCTGCGCATCTTTTCACTCCTCCAGTCAAGGATGAATAAAATGTTCATATTTTTAGAGTTTTTCCACGAGGTATTCTTCAAGCTGCTCCATGTCTGCTGCTAGATTTCCTTGGCTCTCTTTATGTTTTTTAGGATGCAATGGTGGCGCTGTTGACGACAGCGGCGTCCTGACCAATCACAAGCTTGTATTTTCTGTCTCGTCGGACGGATGTTTAGAAAAGAGAGCTCGACTCCGTCTGTCCTTGTGAGCCTGCTGGATAGCCCTCAAAAGGGCGTGCGTCCGTCCCAACGCAGACTGAGAAGTATAAATTAGGCTTTAGATTAAAGTGTTACTCTTGTCTTAAACAGCTTCGATCTCCTGGGTTTCCCCAAAGATTCATGTGATGGTCTCTTACATTAACTTTTACTCATCATCAGTCTGACATCACTTGGTTATTACAGCAGAAATCAAGAGCTTCCTGCTGGAGTCAGCCATTGTACAGAGAGCTATATTTAGCCTTTTCTATTGATTCTTTCACTTTTGAATAGAATAGAATAGAATGGACTGCATTAAATAATAACAAGCTTACACAGGGGTTCTGGAGAGGAGGGCCCGTCGGATTGTTGAACCTCAGATTCAGGAGGAGCAATGTGGTTTTCGTCCTGGCCGTGGAACACTGGACCAGCTCTATACCCTTAGGGGGATTCTGGAGGGTGCGTGGGAATTTGCCCAACCAGTCTACATGTGTTTTGTGGATTTGGAGAAGGCATTTGACCGCGTCCCTTAGGGGGCCCTGTGGGGGGTACTCCACGAGTATGGAGTACCAGGCCCTCTGATACGGGCTGTTAGGTCCCTGTATGACCGGTGTCAGAGCTTGGTCCGCATTGCCGGCAGTAAGTCGGGCTCGTTCCCAGTGAGATTTGGACGCCGCCAAGGCTGCCCTTTGTCACCGATTCTGTTCATAACCTTTATGGACAGGATTTCTAGGCGCAGCCAAGGTGTGGAGGGGATCCGTTTTGGTGGCCTGAGGATCAGGTCTCTGCTTTTTGCAGATGATGGGGTCCTGTTGGCTTCATCAGAACGTGATCTTCAGCTTTCGCTGGAGCAGTTCGCAGCCGAGTGTGAAGCAGCTGGGATGAGAATCAGCTCCTCTAAATCTGAGACCATGGTCTTGATTCGGAAAAGGGTAGAATGCCTTCTCCGGGTCAGGGATGAGGTCCTGCCCCAAGTGGAGGAGTTTAAGTATCTCGGGGTCTTGTTCATGAGTGAGGGAAAACTGGAGCGTGAGATCGATAGGCGGATTGGTGCTGCATCTGCAGTGATGCGGGCGTTGTACCGGTCTGTCATGGTGAAGAGAGAGCTGAGTCAGAAGGCAAAGCTTTCGATTGACCGGTCGATCTACGTTCCTACCCTCACCTATGGTCATGAGCTTTGGATAGTGACCGAAAGAATGAGATTGCGGATACAAGCGGCCGAAGTGAGTTTTCTCCGAAGAGTGTCTGGGCTCTCCCTTAGAGATAGGGTGAGAAGCTCAGTCATCCAGGAGGGGCTCGGAGTAGACCCGCTGCTCCTCCGCATTGAGAGGAGCCAGTTGAAGTGGCTCGGGCATCTGGTCAAGATGCCTCCTGGACGCCTCCCTGGTGAGGTTTTCTGGGAACGTCCAACCGGGAGGAGACCTAAAGGTAGACCCAGGACACGGTGGAGGGACTATGTCTCTCACCTGGCCAGGGAACACCTTGGGATTCCCCCGGAGGAGCTGGCCCAAGTGGCTGGGGAGAGGGAAGTCTGGGCCTCTCGCCTTAGGCTACTGCCCCCGCGATCCGACTCCGGATAAGCGGATGAAAATGGATGGATGGAAGCTTACAGATAACACACAGACAATAAGTTATTATTGTAACCTTCAACCACTAAAAACAATGAATAAAAAGGAAACTTGTGTTTCCGGAACTATGCAGCACAAGGGACACAGACACACTAATGTGCATCTGGTATTGCACAAGTATTGAACACATTCTTAGTATTGCATTGATGCTATTGTGTACCAGGATAATGCCAGTACCAGTTAAACTGTGGAGTTATACACTCTTACTGCAGAGGGGATGAATGACATCGAGCATCGATTGGAACCGGTTCCAACTGTTCATTTTTCCCAGAATCATTCAAACTTATTTATTTCGATTCCTAGAATGCAGACCAGAAGAGGACTCCGCGGCTGATCTCCGTGAAAAATAAACGTGATCTGCAAATTGTGATCAACGCTTTTCAGAGCTGATCACACTAGCTGTCTGTGTGCAGCACCGAGTTAGCTAACTCATGTAAAGCATGTCAAGTCTTGAAAGAATCGGAATCGGGAATCGATAGGACCCGGATTCGAAACAAGGAATTGGAATCGTTCAAAATCAAATGATGCCCAACCCTATCTACAGTAGTGTTGTGTTTTAAAAAACAACAGAATCCCATGTACGCAAATGCAGAGAGGATCTGACAGGTGACACGGCCTCACACAGCTTTGTGTTTTTGAGCCTGACCAGTCTTGATCTCTGCAGCGACACGACCAACCTGCGATCAGATGAAAACACACATTAACAAACCCACTCTATTGGTATCATGTAATTAACTCCTGGGGTCATTTATGATACCCAATGTACACCATGTGTCTGTGCCATGTCTGAAAATGTATGTTTCTTCCTGCAGCTTCCTGCTGGTACGAGTAAGCTCCACATGGAGGCTCCTGTGTTCTCTGTTGGGCTATTTCCTGTCGGTGGTTCCCTGACAGATGACATGCAGGGTGACATGCCCAAAAACACACTACCAGCCCCTCAGCTTGTGATGCTGGCTAATGTGGCGGCAGAAACAGCACCAGAGAACGGTGGCGACGGCGATGACAGCGTAGCAGATGAAAAAGAAATGATGGAGCTGCAAACAGTGGGATCCAGCTACTCGGACAGTGAAGATGAGGGTGTCATCAGGTCAGTTGGTCCCCTTCACTTCTTGCTTGCTGCACATTATCTGTTGTTAACATACCTGTGGATTTGAGCAGGTACAGCTACGACAGCCAAAGCAATCGGGAGGTGTGCATTGTTGAGTATCCAGAGACTCCGAGCCCCTCTGTCGAACCCGTTCCTCTTGAAGACCAGCCCAAACCTTCTAAATCCCCCACCTCAACCTCTACCGGCACTAAAACATCTTCCCACAGTGCCAAATGTAAAAATGGCACTCCTGTTGGCGCAGAGGGCACACAGAAGAAGAAGCTGTTCTGCTGCAAGCCTTGTCACTTCCAGGCTCGGAACGAGCAGGAATTTGTGGAGCACCTGAGCACACACAGCGCTAGCAAGATGATGGTGGTCAACCAGGTGGAGGGGAGGAGCAAGAGTAAAGCCAAGGAAGGAGAGACACCTGAGGCTCAGACAGGTGAGCAGGAAGAGGGCAGCAGTGAGGCGGCTGTGGAAGATGTCAAAGGTCTGATCAGGTGTGAGCGCTGCGGCTACAACACAAACCGCTATGATCACTACATCGCTCACCTGAAACACCACAGCAAAGAGGGCGACGACCACAGGTGAGACTCACCCACACACCAGTCTTTCTAATGAATAGCAGGTTGAGAAATGGTCAGGAACACTGTGGGAAGGAAATTAGAATTCTTTTATATACATTTTTCCAAATTCCTCCAAGCATCTTCCTGTCTTCAGAGCATCTTTACTAGTCTTTGATATAATAAAGAGGCTTCCTCTTTTTTTCTGGTTAAACTACAGTGTAATGGTTTAATCTGGCAATGGCTCGCCATTCTGTAATGGTTTAATTTACATCTTATTTAATGAGCCATAAGACATAAGATTCCTTAGTAAATATGAAATCAACCTTATGGATCTGTGGGTACTGTTTAACCAGAAGATTGGAACTTTTTATTGCAGGGATTATGTAACCACTTCATATTAATTCAGAGACAACAGAAGAAAGTCAAGTTTTAAAAGTTTAAAGATTTATTACTAAACAAATTAAAACTAGACTAACTTTAACACTAAATGTATGGTGTAACTAAGGTGAATGAGACGGAGAATGGTGTAATGTGGAATGTTGCTCAGAACCAGCAAATCCTAAGAAACGATTGGTTCTGGTGGGAAATGAAGGTGATGTCTTTGCGCTAAGCTTTAGTTAGGAGATTCATAAACACATTTGACGCCATTCTGTCGTTCTCCGTACCCTTAGCGGAAGTCCCCGTCTAGATCAGGAGGTGTAGAGGTCCAGCTTGACCTTTGTGGAGCTGAAGCTTGTCGAAACAGCCGCGGCAGCTGACCACCAGTCTTGAGATACTTCCGGATTATGACAGTTTATCGGCATCTAACAAGAGCCAAAAACGGGGTCGTGTTGGTTCAGCTTTTATTCTGAAAGGAACCGTTGCAGCAGGTGGAACAGCAACAGAGTTATCCAGCTTGACGTTGGTTCTTTCGGCTGAAGAGGCGAGCTACGGATTGGCCACTCCGTCAACTTCTCTCGAACGCTTTGAACTGGCGTTAAAGATGACGTGGGCATAGCTTTATACTTTGGATGTTTTGGTTTATGGTCGAATCATGAAAAGATGACAGATTTACCAAGCACCACCAAAACCACGCCTCCGTCAGATCTGGCAGATTCTGATTGGATCAGTAAAAGCAATGTGTCATCTCAACGCTATGTGAGATCAGTCCTAGTGGAAACATTTAAAGTCATATTACTTATATTCTATAGGATTATAATGAAGTAATTAATATTTTGATTTCACAGATTGGTCACATCTTATTATTGACTAACACTTTGTTTGATTAGCTTTATTAAAAATAGAGTTCCTGGATTTATTAAAAGGAGAGGGTCCTTTCCTTCATTCTTCTCTTGAGCTGGAAAGAAGCAGTTTAGAAGCAAATGCATGAGACCTTGAGGTAATATCTCATGCAGAATAGTTCTGTGTCAGAGGAGAGGGGAAAATGACTTTTGGTGGAAAACAGTCATTTCATTCCGTTACAACAGTTTCAGAATTTCTATCAAGCCCCAGAGTTTCTCTGTGTTTACTGTAATCGTGTAAACTAACTCGTTTAATGCCTCGGCCTCACTCGTTCCCTAGAGCAATTCTGTTGTGATTTATGATAACAGTAGCTACGTTTACATGAGCAAAAGTATTCTAAATGAATGCTCTGTCAGATCAACAATCCTTCATGCAAACACGTCAATCGGAATATTCTGATCTTATACAGTATGGCCAGATCTGAATGAAATTTCGTTCCGATTGAGAGAGGTGATTTTGTCTGATCATCATTCCGATTGACGTCCATGTCCATTTGGATTGTTGGAGTAAAATAATGCCCACTGCGCATGTGTGCAACTTCAGCGTGACGTCTTTCCACTTTTGCAGATGCTAAGGACAAGTCAAAACATGGCGGAAGGTTAACAGAAGTTATCCTGCTCTCCTCTCCGGAGGCGGGGGAGCAGTATCGTTACGTACCACTGAGCCTGTAGCTTAGTTAAAGCGATCAGTAAAAACAAAAGCATACAGGTTAAAATGGGACGAAGATCCATAATGGGGGAAAAAACTTAATTTAACGCGCAAAGCTAGAGAATAAGAAAATAAAATGTGAGGGGGAAAGATGTGCGAACAAGATGGCATTTGTTTACAATTTGGTGTGTGTATACTCGCGGCATGATTGGATCATTTTTGGATCATTTCAGATAGTTTCCATGTAAACAGAGATTTGAGATTTCTGATCAACCAAGATTTGAATCGGAGAGGGGAAATGTGGAGCTTGTAAACATAGCTAGTGGACATTAGCATTAACATAAGACAGTCTGATAGACTAGAACTACTTTCTAGGTCTTAAATTATCTGATTTCTCTGAAGCATCCTCCTTCACTGAGCTTACCTGATAGTGCTGAAGCTGACACGCTGTCCTTTTTGCTGTTTGTCATGATCCAGAGGACCACATGTCCAGCATGATGTGTGAAGCTCCTCGGATTTATCTAGAACTGTCTTTTATCAAAGTTCTGTAAAGTTTCTCTTCATTCCCACGTGTATAGACATGATTTCTGATCATTCAGAAAGGAGAGTCACACCTTGTAGAAGACAACTTTGCATTAGTAAATGGAGGCCCATCACAAGAAGGGGTTTGGTGTTCCCTCAGGTGGCTCAATTCCACATTGGGCAGAATTTTTGAAGGACATGTGCTTGGATGTATCTGGATTGGATTATGTTGCTGTTTGGAAACCCATTAAGGTCTTTAGATGTGAGGGACCTGGTCTTAACCTGGTATATTTATGGAACAGTTCATGTGTGGAAATAAAAGGTGGACCGGGTCTGTAGATAAATGTACTATTCAAATCCAAACCTGTCACGATGTGACACCCCCTAATCATCTCAGGGGCAATCAGCTGTGTCCTTGGTTGTCCTGCAGCAGCCCAACCTGCCTTTATGTTTTAATATTTACCAACAAGCTGCAAAATGAATTTGTTCAAATAACTCCAGATCTTGGCATTACACAGCTAAGGTCTGGAGGTGTTGAGATTACCAGATTGAAACCTGATTGGCGATCCCTCTGAATGACAATAGCGTGTTTACCTGTGTTTCCTGCAGGGTGTTCAAGTGCACATTGTGTGCCTACACCACTGTCAGTCATTATCACTGGAGGAAACACCTGAGGAATCATTTCCCCAGCAAACTGCACACCTGCAACCAGTGTTCCTACTTCTCCGACCGCAAAAGCAACTACATCCAGCACATCCGGACACACACAGGTACCCAAAACATACACATCTGTCCGTGTTGTTTTTGTTGTCCACACCATCTTGTGTTCACATCATGTCCTTGTCCACATTGTATCCGTGTGTCAACATCATGGTCACATGACATGGAGGACCATGACCTGGATGACTGAGACCCTTTACCAGCATGTTCACATCGTTTCCATATAATGTTTTTTTCATCTCTTGCATCAAATCCCCATTTTTTCCTTGTTCTTTCCACATCTTCTCCATGAATCAACCATCTCACCATGCGTCCTTGATCTTTTTCTGACTGATCATTGTCTGTTAAGTTTCAGTGCTGTCTTTGTGTTCTTCCCAGCCTGAGTTTGATGTGCCACAGGGGATATATGATGTTGTAATGAGGTGTTTTCTGTTTGGACAGGTGTACGTCCCTTCCAGTGTCTCTACTGTGACTACTCAAGTTCTCAGAAGACTCACCTCACACGACACATGAGGACTCACTCGGGTGAGTGTGTGGAACACATCTGGTTGTCTTCTACCATGGGAGTTGTGTTGTTTATGTGTTCACCTTTTGGCTATTAATCATTTCAAAAGTCAAATGAAACTACCAAAGCACCCGACAATAGCTGAACTACCAAACTACCTGAAAGTTGAACCGCCAATTCATCCATCGGTTGAATTACCAAACCACCTGTTAGTTAAACTACCAAACAGCCAAAAAAACGTACTACCGTATTTTCCGGACTATAAGTCGCACTTTTTTCATAGCCTGGCTGGTTCTGCAACTTATATACCAAATTATGTATATCGTGCTGCTGCGGGCCGGCTCCGGACCAGGTTTCAGCTCCTCTGTCCCGCTGAGAGGGTTTCAAACACCGCCATCACCTGCTGCAGCCCGTGGCGGGGTGCCACGGGCGCTCTCTCCGCCCGCTGGGAGGGTTTCAAACACCGCCATCCTCTGCTGGAAACCGTGGCACGCTGCTGCGCCCTGATTGTTTATTCTGTTATTGTTACCGGTACTTGTCTTGCAATGTGAAATGCTTGGTCTCAGATTTTGTAAGAAAAATAATAAAATTTGCCCTCAAAATGCGACTTATATATGTTTTTTTCTTCTTCATTATACATTTTATGGCTGGTGCGACTTATATTCCGGAAAATACTGTAATTTTACAAATGCAACCTTTTGTTAAAATGCTATTGCTCAACAAAAATATTTTGGGTTTGGACTCCTCACACCTGGAACTGGATCAGAACTGTTTTGTTTTGCCGTGCCCGCTGTGGGCCTGTGTGGCTAACGAGAGTTGTTTGTCTGATAATAAGATTGTGATGTTGTGTTTCTCTGACTAACTGAAATCATCTCTGTGCTTCTCTCTGAAGCCGCCTGTTGGACTAACACGGTAAGGTCTCTCTCTGGGTCAGGTCTGGTTCTGTTGTGTTAGATTGTGTTGTGTTGTGTTCTGAGGTGTTCACATTGGAACAGGTCCATCTAGCTGCATGGTGACGCAGTGGTTAGCACTGTTGCCTCGCAGCACAAAGGTCGCAGGTTCAAAACTCGGCTGTGGCCTTTCTGCGTGGAGTTGCGTGTTCTCCCCATGCATGCGTGGGTTTCCTCCGGGTACTCCGGTTTCCCTCACAGATCACAACATGCCCTATAGGTTATAAATTGTAAGTCGCTTTGAATAAAAGAGACTGCTAAAAGAATAAACATAAACAAAAAAACCCACCTGTGTTTTTATCATGGATGGATTCTTTATTTTGGTAGTTGGGACCACAGAACCCTTTTTTCAGAGAGCTGTGATCCCCACACAGTCGTAAGTTACATAAAACAATCTTGGATATCATGAAATGAAACACAAAAGACTATAAAAATAAATAAAACCTACCTAGAAACACTTTCAGTGGACCCAGATTCTTGAGTTTTTACTTCGCCTCTCAGTTCAAAGATACGGATGCAAATCAGACTGAAGTGTTTTTCTGCTATCAGGTGCAAAGAACCCAAAAGGCCTTTGTTCCCAGTTGAGTGTTCACTCCTAGAGCCACCAGTCTCAAAATACCTATTGAAGGACTGGTTCCATTAAAGGGAGAGAGTCACTTGACTTTTAAGTCTAAAAGTTGTGTTTGGAAGCCGCTGTAGATGAACTTCTGAGACACTTGTGTCCTACCTGAGTTCTGTCCTCTGCAGCTTTCTAAAGTCTTCTTTACATCATGTGTGCAGGTGAACGTCCTTTCAAGTGTGACAGCTGCAGCTACCTGGCTGCAAATCAGCACGAGGTCACGCGTCACGCTCGCCAGGTCCACAATGGTCCCAAACCTCTTTCCTGTCCATACTGTGAGTACAAGTCAGCTGACCGCAGCAATTTTAAGAAGCACGTGGAGCTCCACCTGAACCCTCGGCAGTTCCTCTGCCCACTCTGCAAGTATGCTGCCTCCAAGAAATGCAACCTGCAGTATCACATCAAATCTCGTCACTCTGGCTGTGACGTGGCCCTGGATGTTTCCAAAGTCAAGCTGCGCATCAAGAAATCCTGTTCTGAAAGTGCAGATGAAAACTCTGACTCAAAGAAAAGTAAGATGGACTGCCCATTGAACATGGAAGAAGATACGGACCAGGATGAGGATAAGGACTCAAGCCCCATCAATCTGTCTGTCAGGAAGCGCAACTCTGACCAACCATCACAGACCCAGACTCCTAACAAGACAACAAAGACCCTGAATGGCAAATCTGAAAAAGACAACCCTACAAAGAGGAAGGTGCCTGAGAAAAGGGTCACAACGAGGCAGAAGAAGATGAAAAACTCTGTGGAGATCAGAGGCGATAAACAGGTCCAGCCAGAAGCTACTGGAAGTACCGACAGCCAGGCTAAGAAACGAGTCAAGAAGCTTCTCACTGAGAAGACAGCTGTCCAGGACCAAACGGAGGAATCTAACTCTGTTAAACAGCAAATTGAGACAGAGACTTCTGACCCACAACCACCAGAAGGAGCTGTAAAGGAACTGAAGACGAGGCCTGAGAGGAAGAAAGCAGCTGAGAAGAATGGGAACAAAAGTCTCACGAAGGCCAGGAAATCTGGTTCAAAGGGATCGCAGAAGACTCCAGAACCTGCTGAAGAAGTTTCCGTGAAACCCAACAGTCCTGAGAGTAGCAGGAAAGTGGGGAGGGGCAAAGACAAACCTGCAAAGAGAAAAGGAGTGGAAGCTTTGGACCTTTCCCAACAGTCCTCTAAGACCAAGCGCCTGAAAGCCGTTGCTAGTGAAAATCTGCTGTCCAAATCCGTCGACACCATGACAAAGCAGTCCAGTTCAACCGAAAAGTCCAACTGCAGGATGCTGCCTGTCAATAAGAGAAATACTAGAACCTCCAGCAAGAAAGCTTCTGGTCTGCAGCCAGCTGTGGAGCCAAAGAATGACCAAATGACATCCATTACTGGTGTGTCAGTTCCACAAACCGCTAAAGCTGAGTCGACGGGGACCGGTCCTGTTCAAGCAGGTTCCTCCACAGATCAGCCAGCTCCACCTGAGCTTGATCCACATCCCTCCAAGCAGACCAAGGCTCTGCCACCCAGCAGCTCCAGAGAGGACATGCCGTCTGATGACTTGTCTGATCCCGCCTTCCTCAAACCCTCACCTCCACCTCCGCTGCTGCTTTCAGGTCAGCGCAGCAAACCAGCCGACCACGAGGATGACGAGGGCATTCACAGCAGCCACGAAGGAGGAAGTGACATCAGTGACAGCGCGTCTGAGGGCAGTGATGACTCTGGCCTTAATGGTAATGGTGCTGGTCCAGCCAGGTCAGCCAGCGACCCTGAAACACCCACCGATGAGATTCCAACGCCGACAGAACTCAAAAGTCACTTGTGCATCTTCTGCGACCGCACCTTTCTGGCAGAGGCAGAGTACCGCCGCCACTTGAACCGACACCTGGTCAACGTCTACTTCCTGGAAGCCACAGCAGCACGCTGACTCCAACTTGTTGAGCAATTTGGACCAAACATTGGAACACCTACAGGAAGGGATTAAGAACTTACTGGATTTACTGCTCAATCCGATCATTTGGAACACTTTTCCAAATTAACTTTTAAAAACATTCAACTTTTTTAATGGCAACAGGAGATAAATTCAGTCTGATGCCAAAGACATTTTCTCAGTTGCAGACGGTCAAACTGGAAAGTCCCAGCAACAACTGGGACTTCACACCGTGTACTATGAGGAACGGTTGTGGGTCGTTTGAGACCTTCAGTTTCTGTGACAATCAGTTTATTCTTAACTTTTTATTAAGCTTTTCAGGCAGTTGAGATCAATCTGAGTGGTTTTCTTCAGAGATGATAAGATGACGGTGATGATGAAATCTTTGGGCTTTTCTCTAGTATCACATTTAAATATTTCAGTGCAATACACCATGTAGTCAAGATGCCAAAGTGTTTTTGTTTGAGATGATGAAACAGAGGTGAATAAACCTCCATCAGATGCTAGTTGTCAGTGTGCACCCTGCTTAGCTTAGATGTTTTTCTTTGTTGTCCTGCAGCTGCTTCACATCAGTTTCAATTTCTGCAGATGATCAAGGAAATCTGAGCACATTTTATATCAGTCACAAGCTAACTTCAGTTTTGTCATCCTCCCCTTTATTAATAAAACATTTACTCGCGTACTTCCATCAGCTGTTGGTTATTTTCTTTTTCCCACTGATAAAAATGAATTCTTATTAAACTTGTAACTGAATGAAAATCACCAATCGTCTTCAGCATTTAGAAACTTGTTAAACATGGAGATGGAGCTGTGTTCTCGGGATGTAACGTTTTAAATGAAAAACGTGTAGATGCCTGTCAGTTTAGGGTGGAAACGCAAGCATATCGTGTGTCAGTCATAGTAATGAAAATAAGGGATGCTCACAACAGCTTCTCAGTACAGTGACCAACCACCATGGCCCTAGTTGCTCATATGTCATGGGGTGATGGGCCTGCACAGATTTTATATCATTGAGCAATTACTCTTTTTCTCCAGCGGTTATCGTACAAGAGACGGGGACACTGGACGGGTCGTAATCAGTCACAGGCATACACAGAAAAAGACAAGCAGTCACACTCACACCTTGGAACCAGAATTTCCTTATTTTGGTGTGATGCAGAACACCAGATGTGTGCTACAAAGAAACTGGCTTAGTTCATGTTATCTTGGACTGAAAAGAATTCCCAGCTTGGAATCTGCGAAAGGAGAAAGATGCATCCTCCTTAGTATGTTAACTATTTATAGCGAAAATCCATCAAGGCACCTGACACATTTATTGGACACAGGCCTCCAGCATCATGGGAGGTGGACGTCCAGAGGAAGAAACACAGGCCCATCCCGAAACACGTGTGCATTTATTGAAACATAAATATCAGCCTCCCACAAGAGGACCTCAGGTTTGCCTCAGTGACCAGGACTTCCCCTTCTGTGAACAGTCTATATTTTCTAAATCTACAAAATAAGTATAATCTGAGTTCAAAGTGAGAAGTTCATTGAAGTGTGTGTGTGTGTGTGTGTGTGTGTGTGTGTGCGCGCGCGTGCAGACAGTGTTACGGGTCATTTAGGGTCATCACTTAACCTACACATGCATGTTTTTGGTCTGTGTGAGGAAATGGAGTACCCAGAGAAAACCTACTCATGCATGGTGAAAACATTCACATCTCATGCCAGCAACCTAGTGAAAGGTCAGAGGTGTGCCACAGGAGACCAGCACCATGGTTCTGTATGGGATTATTTTGGATCATAGTGGTGAGAACTTCTGGATAAACGAACACTTGACCTATTTCACCAATAGAGTCCAGTAGAACAGAACAGCTCTAAAAAGACAAGTTAGGAACAAAGTCAGAACCAAAACAGTTTGAGAGGTAAACTATAACAAAACTCTCATGAAACATGATCATGGATGCTGTTTTAGGAAAGGTGAAGTCTGGGCTTACAAGATCAATATGGCTGAATTTAATGATGTTTGATTAGTTATCAATGAATCATAACCATCCAACGTCAGTGTGCGGATCCTGCTATACCAGTGATGAGAGCTTCTTTGATATATGGTATTATTGTTAACATACTGATATTAATATGTGACATGACTGATAATAAAATCATCATTAACTCATCAAGTAGATTTGTTTGGTGCATTCAAGATCTAAAATAATTTAAACAATAAACAGTTATTTTGATTAAATCATTACTTTCAAGAAAACAAGTCTTATTAAATTCACCTTAGATAAAACACTCATTGTTCTATGATTGTAATTAATCTGTAAAATAAGAAAATAATTGTATAGAAAGCATATGATTCTTTTCATATTAAGAGTCCTGTCTTCTGGAGATGTCTTGTAACTTGCAGCAGATAAAGGAAGCAGGAGAGGAACTTTGTTCTGGCAGTTCCCCAGGTAGCAAGGCTGGCTTATGGAGAGATGGTTATAAACGGAGCACACTGTTTCTCAGGTAAATGAAGATGGCTGGACAGTGTAATGCCTTCCTTAATGCTACAGCAGCTCTAAAATGACAAATTAGGGGCAAAATAAGCTGACAGCTGTAACCAAGAAAATTCCTGTTATCATTTTAGTGTGACAAATGCTTTACACACATTGATAACATACACTTAAAACCTGCATCATCACCACGACATAAAAACAAGTCATGTGGTGGTGGTATAACAAGTATCATAGTTAACGTTATAGGGGGACATGGTGTGGTATTTTTAAGCCTAATAAGTTATTCTCAGGAGTTTTATTCTTGACATTTTTAGTACTTTCCTGAATGTCAATGTCAAGTTTATTTATAAAGCACATTTAAATACAATACAAAGATTGACCAAAGTGCTGTACGTCAGCAAACAACATTCAAACAAAAACAACAAACAACAACACAGCAAAAAGAATGAGTCGTTTCAGGGCTCTGTCGCTTTAAAGTGGCACTGTGTAGTTTCCTGGCATTGGGGGCGGTACACATATTTCAGGGTAGTTTTACACCATATTGTCGTGACTGTCGCTAGTTTTAAAAAAAAATTACGGTAAAGGTTACCTGTGGAGCAGAAAGCATGTGACCTTGGTGTGGCTCCTCAGACTTTGAAGCCTGGGGCACACTGGAGGCAGATGCACCACGTCTCGCCTGCGATTTTGAGAAGTCAAGTGGTCACACAGGACAAGTCGTGCGATAGTTACAACATCACACAGGACTTGAGAACAGGAAGCAGGAAGTGACTATTGTTTATACGTGATCAGAGTTGTGGTCATGTTTTGTGAGACTCTTAATTAAAATTGGAATTTTCAAGATCAATAATACTTTAAAGTTATCAAAACTGCAGCTGGGTTTTTGCTGGCAGTTGGGTTTGTGCCATAAAGCCGTTCTGTGTCGTAAAGTCTGTTGTAAAATACTTCACATTGTTGTAAACAGCTGCGGCGCCACAGCGCTTGAGATAGAACTGGCACCTATCTTCAGTGCCTCAGCGCACAAGAATGCAATGCTGATTGTTGTTCCTGGATCTGCTCGAAGTCCTGCGATTGCCAATTACGTCATCAAACGACGGTAATATCATTTGGCCAAAATATATTGCATCTCTTTTTCAATTCTGTTCTTTCATATAGGTTTTGGAAAGAGTTTAGGAGTTTTGTTATTAAATTAGTGTTTCTTACTACCTAAATGTTTTCAATCATGGTAATGTCATAGAGTCGTACATCCAGCCAATCTTCTAGTGTGATGTCATCGACAGGCGTGAGACCACGAGCCGACAAGAAGGAAATATGGTGCCCCCAAAGATGCTAGACCTTATACTTTAGACCTGATTTTTATGGTTATATGGTGTAAAGCCGCCAATATTTTTCAACGACCGGACATGACTTTGTTCATTTTCAACAACATTTCGATGCACATTTCCAGAGATTAAAGGTAAAACTCCACACTGCCACTTTGAGAAAAGCCAACTGCTGCTGGCCATGCCCACCCATGCCTTGATTGGCTGCTATTAGGTGAGGAGCTTGGACATCTGGAAGGGGATCACAGTAGAGCCACTGCTCCTCGTCATAAGGCGTGGTTCTAAGCTAATTTCCTTTTTTATGATGCCATAATAGGTTTTAGGCTCATAATGCCTAGAATCAAACCCTGACAGGCCTTTAATTTTATTATTTATTTAGTTTGTTTCTATTCATCTTTGGACTGTTAACAGAGGCAGTAGAGACCCAAGGATGCTAAAGGGAGTCTTGCTAAATATGTCCCCCCTTAAAGGAAACAATGTTCAAGAAGGAATGGTAAATGACCTGTATTTGATGAAGCACCTTCTAGAGTCCTGGAACCCCCCAAGGCACTTTACAACATAATCAGTCATTTACACACACATTTACGCCCTGGTGGGGATGAGCTACGATGTAGCCACAGCTGCCCTGGGGTGCACTGAAAGGAGGCAAGGCTGCCCAGCAGTGGCGCAACCGGTCCCTCTGGCCACCACTAGCAGGCAAGACGGGTTAAGCGTCTTGCCCAAGGACACAGTGACAAACTGAGCGAGGCTCAAACCTGCAACCTTCCGATTACAGGACGAGCTCTTGACTCCTGTGCCACCGTCACCCCGGGTCAATTCATGTCCTCTGGAGTTCAACATTATAGTTCTCTGACTCAACTGCAAACTAACTTCTGTTCTTTAACTTAAATACCTCCAGTTCTTCTGTTTGATGTTAATCCTAGTTCTTTTAACTAAGCATCACTCATGCTGTCATTTGGTAACAAGGTTTATTGTTGTTTTGAGCAAAGCTTGTGCATGATTAGCTTTAGCTGCAGCCAGCAAAAGATGCAAATGGATGATCTGTTGGTTATTATAACACCCAAGACTTTCTCGTCAATCACCGCCCCTCACAGTCACATATGATACTTCATTACATGTTTTTTGTTTGGTTCTGACCTGAATAACCCAATCTGATGAACTAGTAGAAGTAGGTTTCAGCTGTTTGAGGTTTTAACTGGGCCATTATCCACCAGAAAAAGTGGTTGACTGGATCATAACCATGGTCATAGATCAACGCTGGGTCTCACTTGAAAGAAGCAATCCATGATTTTGTTTTTACAATAGTTAAGCACTAGCTGCGATGATATCTGCAGTTAGGTGACAGTCTATTTTCACTCTCAGGTGTCCCTCGTCGACTGCTCATGGGCAACACAATGACCTTTGACTTCTGGCCCGATGATGAGGACATGTTCCTTGGAGATGATATCTGATTCTCATGGTTGTCACAGCAACAAAGCATGCTCTTGACCTTTTTTCTGAACTCTGGGGACACGAAGTAGAAGATGAAGGGATCAATGCAGCTGTTAAATGCACTGCTTGCTAAGCTAATCATGTAGGGAACATAGAGGTCCTCGCCGTCCACATCCAATGAGCTGTCAGCATAAGTTAGAAGAAGGAGGACATTACTGGGCAGCAGACACACAATGAAAACAATCAACACCAGCAAGGTTACCCGGATGGCGTTTGCATAGCGCGTCCTCTCAGCTATCAGGGTGTGTAGCACAGCACTGTGGCAAAACAACATGATGAGGAAGGGCAGCAGAAAGCAGGAAGCAAACAGAGTACTGAAGTACGGAAGGAAGTAGTTCTCCTGTTCCCCCCCAGGCAGCGCGTCATGGCAGGTCATTATGTTGAGTTCATTCAGCCTGTAGGTCTGCTGGGAGAGTAGCAGTGGCAGCATGGCGGCCAGAATCACCACCCATACCATTCCAGTCATGTACAGAGACATCCGCTGGCTTCGCAGAGTCCTGGCGCGTAGAGGGTGAACCACAGCTACATATCGGTCCAAAGCCACAAAGGCCAAACACCAGACTGAGCCATACATGTTACCATAAAATACAGCCATGACAATGCGGCACAAAGGCTCACCCAACTCCCAGTTGTTTCCTCGAAAATGGTAGGCGATACGAAATGGCAGAACCATGAGCAGCAGACAGTCTACCAGTGTCAGGTTGATGAGCAGCGTGGTCGATGGCAGGTGTTTAGTTCGAAAAACCAGAACCCAAAGAGCCAATATGTTGACCGGCAGACCCACACAAAAGGCCAGAAGGTATAGAACTGGCAGGTAAACATTGATGGTTGGAGCCTGGATCTCCTTCAGCTGCTTCTCCTTCAGAGTGGTGATGTTACAGTTAGTAATCAGGCGGAAAGTTCGTAGACCTGCAGAGATCACAACAAAGCAGTCAGTCTGATTTTGGAGCTGGATCTTTTAGAGATTTGGATGTCGAAGGTTAACATTTAAATATCACAGGGTTGGTTAATCAATGCTTGAATTGGAAAAATCAAATACCTCCTAGCAACAACAATTTTAAAACCAATTAACACAATATATTTATTCATATTAATCAAATGAAAATCAAGTCAATATGAGAGTGGTCACTTGTCAGAAAATGATTAATCCACGCAGCAGGGTTGGCTAATTTAAAGTAACTGTTGAATGTGATGACATAGAGGAAATGTATGCTCCTGAGCTGTGGCCTGAAGCGGCTCTAGTTCAGCGTTATTTTGAGCCACGTAAGACCACTGTTGTTAATTCCAGTACTATACCGTCCAATAAGGAGGTAAATGTGCCATCCAGTGACTATCAGTTTGAATATGTCACTCGGGGTTCTGTCCTAGGCTTGATGATGTTATTAAGCCTGCCAGGCCTGAAGTGGACTGGTGTATTGGGATTTGATATACTTAATAATTTTATTATTTTAAATATTATATCCCTCATGAATCTCGGGAGAATCAGGTAGAATTTCTCAATAGGTTGGCTTTTATTAATGCTTTTATACAGGACAGTGGCACCTAAAGTGTTCATGTTGTGGGGGATATGAATGCAGATATGGCTGACAATAGTTCTTTATTTGCTAACTATCTACATATAGATACAGAACAACTTTAATCTATCAAGTAGAGCTCTGCTACCTGTGGACACTGATACGTAGTGAAGCTGGGGGGGGGGTAGTATTTCCAACGCCTTTAGTGTCTTTAATGGGGTAAGGCAGGGTGGCATTTTATGTCCTGTTTTGTTCAACTTATACGTTGATGAGCTATCCGAATGCCTGAGAGCTTGCAACACCGGCTGTTTGATAGGTGATGTTCTGATTAATCACCTTATGTATGCAGATGACCTCGTAGTTTTTAGCCCTACTAGTGCAGGACTGCAACAGCTCCTAGATGTTAGTACTGGAATGAAATATGATTTAAAATATAATTCAAACAAAAGTGCTATTCTAATCTGCAGAACTATTCAGGATAAAAGGCTTCATTTTCTTGTGTTAACCAGCAACAGCCTTGCAGTCTGTGAAAAGATAAAATATCTTGGTCACTTTATCACAGTGAATATGAGCAATGATGATGACATGTACAGGCAGTGCTGCAAGTTATATGTGCAAGAAACACCATTGCACGGAAATGTAACTGTTGTTCTACACCTGTTAAAGTGTCATTATTTAAAGCATACTGCACACCTCTGCACACTGCACATCTGTGGTCATATTATAAAAAAACTCCAAATTGCACAGGTTACAAGTGGCTTACAATTATGCAATGAGAATCCTCCTCAAAATTCCCAGGGGAGGAAGTGCTAGTAAAATGCTTGTTTCTGTGAGGGTGTGCACATTTAAGGCACTTCTGAGAAATTTAATGTTTACGTTTATGACATGGCTGGAAGAATCTTCTAATAGTAATATAGTTGCACTCTCGAATCCCACTGTGAGTTGCTCTCGTTATTTGTCTAAGCGGAGAAGGCACTGGCTAAAATGTTTAGGTAGATATGACTCAGTTAGTTGCGTCGTCCCTTACTTCCGCTGTAGCTACATCCTGCGATTTTATATAGAATTTCATTGGTATTAAAGGTTTCATGTCTTGTGCTTTATTTTAATTGATTATTTTATCTGTGTGTTATTTCTTTTTAAATGGACTTTAAGTCTGGCAAAAACACGTTTGAAACATCAAATCGATCAAGTTAACAAATCTTATCGAATATATAAAACTCTAAATAATAAATCCAGTCAAACAAATCTAATTAGTCAATAAAAACAAAATTTCAATTATTCTCATCAATCTTGTTGACCAATTGAATCAATAATATATTGTAAATACATCCAATTAACACCAAAAGTGCAATTAAATAAATCAGTTAACTCAATCATATAAATATAATCAACACACTTTGTTTCTCTATATTGCTGATTGCATAACACCACTGGGTGTTTTGTCTTTTTTTACACAGTAAATTTTTATCTTAAATATTTCAGTTTTTTACTATTTTGATTTTTGCACCATGAGTTATCAGTAAATGTCATTTAAATTCAGTGCAAGTCTTGTACATATGGCAGTCTTCACAATAAAAAGAAATTGAATTGATCGGCAGATTGGTGCTGCATCTGCAGTGATGTGGGTGTTTTATCGGTCTGTCGTGGTGAAGAGAGAGCTGAGTTGGAAGGCAAAGCTCTCGATTTACCGGTTGATCTACGTTCTTACCCTCAACTGTGGTCACAAGCTTTGGGTAGTGACCAAAATAATGAGATCACAGATGCAAGCGGCAGTTTTCTCCACAGGGTAGCTGAGCTCTCCCTTAGAGATAGGGTGAGAAGCTCGGTAACCTGGGAGGGGCTTGGAGTAGACCCGCTGCTCCTCCATATCGGGAGGAGCCAGTTGAGGTGGCTCAGGTTAGGATGCCTCCTGGACGCCTCCCTGCCTGGTGAGGGTTTCCAGGCATGTCCAACTGAACCCAAGACATGTTGGAGGGACAATTGTTTCTCGGCTGGCCAGGGAGCATCTTATTTCCCCAGAGGAGCTGGCCCAAGTGGCTGGGGAGAGAGAAGTCTGGGCCTCTAAGCTTAGGCCGCTGACCCCCGCGACCCAATTCTGGATACGGGGATAAAAAAGGATGGATTGATGGAATTAAAAATGAATGAAATGAAATTTAATTGAATTTATTTTAACTGAATCAAGAACTCGTCTTTGAAGCCTGTTAGGGACTGTTACAATGACTTGTAGATATCTGAGGATTTTTGATTCCAGTGTTTTCTTTTAGGTGTTTTCTTTGATCTTTTCTATGCTTACATTTTAGTTTCTTCTTAAAGAGCAAGTCACCCCCTACCAGATTCTTACTCAACTCCCACTTCCTGTTTGAAAAATGCAACAAATGCTGTTGCCTAGCAGACCAAGAGGGCGGAGCCGCTAACAAATATACACACTCACAACACTGTGACATCATAATGTACCATCTAACATCATAGTGTACCTCTTAGCCAATAGCGATGGCAGATTTAAATTCGAATGCAGTGCAGAGTTTTTGCCTGACGACGGTGCATCGCTGACAGTTTTAGGCAGAATATTTTAATTTTAACTAAGATGCACTAAAGTGCCGAATTATTGACTACACGGGTCTACAGCACGATCAGACACTCATTTATATAGTTTATCAGCAAGAAAATGTTGATTTGGAGTGGCTTGCTCTTTAAACATTGATTTCCTGCCTGTCTTACAAATATCTGGGAACTGACCTTGTTGAAATGCTGACTTTTGAAGCCCATGGACTCAAGAAAGCGCATCAGAGAATATATTTGTATCAGAAATGCTTGTAATGTGGATTCTACATTTATTCTTGAGTCTTTAAAACATTACCTTCATCTGTTGGTGCAAACTTTGTTAAGTACTTGTCTGCATGACGTGTTTTGGTCTAGACCAAAGAGATGAAGTGAGATAAGTTGATTTCTAAAAGGAAGCTCAGACTTCTCTTCACATCCGCTTCGACTTTAGTTTTAACTTCAACAAACATTTTAGCAAAAGAGAAAACATATTCCGGAGATCTTGATTCATCTCTGATCCTCCAAAAGAAACCTGACTAAAGAGATGAGAGAAAGAACACAGCCAGTCCAGCTGTGTGCACCACGAGGAAGGAGACTTACGGACAGGCGTGACCGAACATACATCTCCAGGATGAGAAGATGGAGAGACACTGCAGATGGATGACAGAATGAACACAAAGAGGGGAGTCCCAACAGTCAGCTTCATTCCTCTTCTGTGGTTTTTCTCTACTGTACTCACTTTTCAGACAGTTTAGACCACAAATAGCTGCTTCTGGTTTCCTTGAGTTTCAGTCACAGCGGTACCAGTCCAGGAATGGTCCAAAAGCTCTCAGTAGAACCTAGACTTGTTCAGAAGCAATATCAGTGTGTCCACAGTGGATCAGCAATAGCAGAACTTGCATCAGTTTTGTGAGGGTCTGAGGATATCCGTCTGATCCACCCTCTGCTGGCCTCGCCCACTCAGCTTATGTTATCCAGATGTGTTTGTCTGTGTTTTAAACATGTCTCTGAGGACTTTCTCAAGTTTCAGCTTCTCTCTGTGTACATTCTGCTCTTCACTTTCTGGTATGAACTCCGATCATAGCTAGGGTCAGACTGGACCTACTCAGGGCTGCTGCTCTTCTAGAACTCAGGGCTGTGGCAGCACATAATACATGACTCAGGGGAAACGGAGTTGATGTGCATTCCTGTTCCTTCATTTAACAGGAGTGGCCTGCTCTAACCTAGCCCCTGAGCCACAGTGTTCCAAAGTCAGCGCAGCATGTCCCCCTACTTTTTCCAAAGTCGATTTTTGTCTCCTGCACTTATAACCATCCAAAACCTATACTACACTATGTTAAATAGACACTGGTTGAGGACTATGACCAAGCGGAAGACAACCGCTTGTATTGAAGCCTGTTTCCCATTAGAATGTCCATAAGCTCATCTATTGGCTCTGCTGATACTTGCTAGCATGTTATCCCTGCATGCATTCATGCATTCCTGACATTGCATAAAAGAACCTCTAGGCTGTATTTTTAATACATATTTATTGCATACTTACTGTAAATCCCCCCCCCCCCCCCCCCCCCCCCCCCCCCCCCCCCCCCCGGTTACATCTCCAGCGCTCAGTCCTGCAGTAGCTACCACATAAAGGCGGACCAAAGTTTCCAACCCGGTGAAGAACACCCATTCTGACAGATGTGGATGCTACGCTGGTGCCACCATTAGAATAACAAAACTACATTTGTCACATTGTGAGCCTGGAGGAGGTTTGGACCCAATATGCAGACACCCAGAACGACATGAGGCAGGAGTGGATGTAAATGAAAACATTCCTTTATCAGGAAGGAGAACAAAAATGTTCCAGAAGGGCAGGAAGCCAAAAACCAATGTCCTGAAACCCTGGAGACAAAAAGCTCATTTAAAGAGCTCAAAAACCTAGATACCTATTGACGAGGCACAAAACAACGCTGAAACCAAACAATGGACTGACAAAACACTGTAACACAGACAGGGTTTTATACACTGGGGAGGATGAGAGGGAGATGAACTGCAGGTGTGTGGGGAGAGAGAGACCAGGTGAACTCAATTACTAATCAGGGAGGAAACTAACATGACCTAAGAATAAAACCTAAAGACAAGAAGAGCAGGAAACATAACTAATAATCTAAGGGGGGAGAAAAACCTCAAACACCGATGGGAAAAACACGCTAGAGAGACTAATAATGTAACAGCAAGATGGCGCCCATGAGTGGTTGTCTGTTTGCTAGGCTCCTGATCTTTTTTGGTTATTTAGTGTTTTTTATTGTTTCTTCTTTATCTGGTGTGGAGTCCCTGCTAACATATGATCGAGACTTACTATTGTCGATCAGGTCCACGATGATCAACCTCCAGAACTCCGATACCGGACCCGCTTTCCCACCTCCTCTGGAAACTGGCGTTAACCCAGGTCTCGGCCCTCTGTTACCTGTCGGCCTGCCGCTGCCCCGGAGGCCATGGAAGAGGAAACGGAGGAAGAGAGCCGGCTTCTTCGTTCAGCTTCGAAAGATCCTGAGAGGCGAAGCTCTACCTGATCGCTGCTCCGCGGCTGTGTTGTGGCGGATCCAACAGAAACTAAACGGAGTTGGGCTGATCTTGCTGCTCATTGGAGCCCCTGATGCAGGACGTTACCTGAAGGCGTGGGAGACAAACAACCTCCGTGGGCGTAGCCTGGAGTTGCTATGTAGCTTAGCCCGCCAGCCGCCCGCTATTATGGAGCCCGCGGCACACACATCGCCAGATTCCGCCGCGAAAATGATGTTAATTAACGCTCTCTCCATCGCCAACAAGTCTCACATCCTCAACGATCTGTTCCGCACCAAAAAATTTAACTTTTTGTGGATGTCTGAGTCGTGGCAGCGCGAAAATGACGTCACTCATCTCCGTGAACTCTGTCCTCATGACTGCTCTTTCTTCTCTGCTCCACGAACCACAGGCCGCGGTGGAGGAACAGCTGTTATCTTTAAGAAACACTTTTCGTGCCAAATTATATCCTCAAACTCCTACAGCTCATTTGAGATGATCATGATTAAAATTGGCCGAGTTCAACCAGTTTATGGAATTCTGGTCTATCGCCCACCTGGATCTACTTCATCCTTCCTGTCTGACTTTCAGGATCTCCTATCTTCAACTATTAAACTAGACAGGATAATCATTGTTGGAGATTTCAACATCCACGCTGAGGATCTATCTAACAGCTCCACTAGGGAGTTCCTAAACATGATGAACTCTTTTAACTTCTCTCAACACGTGTCTGGTCCCACTCACAGAGCAGGCCACACCCTGGATCTGGTCTTTTCCTACGGACTTCTTGTTGATAAGCTGCGGATAAATGATGTTGTGTTCAGTGACCATAAGTCAGTTTCTTTTCATATTAACCTAAATTCTGAATCTCTTTTACCAGACTCTGCTAAGCAAAGACGTATTATCAACAGTTCTACCATTTTAAATTTCTCCTCCCTCTTTGACTTTGTACCTCCTTCCTCTGATGACGTGGAGCTCCTTACTAACTCATTTAATGATCACTGCCTCAAAATTCTAGATCAGGTCGCTCCTTAAAAAACCAGCCGCAGTTCCAGTGCCTCAAGTTCACCTTGGCTGAACAACCAGATTCTTGATCTTAGACGCTCCTATAGAAAAGCGGAATGACGGTGGAAGAGGACAGGTCTGGTTGTTCATCGCGAATATTTTAAAGAACTTCTCGAGTCATACAACGAAGCTGTAGAAAATAACAGGTCTTCTTTCTTCAGCAACCTCATGCCAAAATAAGAATAACCCTAAGGTTTTGTTTGATACAATCTCCAGCATCGTGTCTTCTCCTCCGCAGCAGGCTCAGCTATCTTCAGCTGATGACTGTAACATATTTCTCCACTTTTTTGCAAACAAGGTGTTGAATCTGAGATCCAGCATTCCACCAGCCCCCTACCCCTCAGGAGAGGAGGCCCCTCAGTGCTCTGAGTCTTTCACTTCCTTCTCCCCAATTACACTAAATGACTTAACCTCAATATCAGTCAGATGAAACTCCCTCTGTTTTAGTCGGATCCCTTGGCGCTATCAGTCCATCTCTGTTGACTATAATCAACAGCTCACTGAGCCAAGGCTGTGTTCCATCTTACTTTAAAAATGCAGTAGTGACTCCTTTCTTAAAGAAACCCAACCTTGACGCCAGCTCCACCAGTAACTTTAGGCCCATTTCTAAGCTACCTTTCATCAGCAAAGTACTTGAGAAGGTTGTTGAAACCCAATTCAGATCCTGGTTTTCTAAGTCAAAGATCTCTGACCCCTTCCAATCTGGCTTTCTGAAGCAGCACTCAACTGCAACTGCTCTAGTAAGGGTGCATAATGACCTCCTGATGGCTGCTGATGCAGGGAAATGCTCTGTCATGGTCCTGCTTGACCTCAGTGCAGCTTTTGACACTGTAGACCACAATGTTCTACTAAACAGGTTAAAGGCCCTGGCTGGGATTTCAGGTTCTGCTCTAGACTGGCTCTCCTCCTATCTCACTAACAGAACATTCACAGTGAAGTCCGAAACCTTCTCTTCATATACTGCCTCTCTAACATGCGGGGTCCCACAAGGTTCAGTTCTAGGGCCTCTACTATTTGCATTCTATATTCTTCCCCTAGCTGGCATTATTCAGTCTTTCCCAGACATCTCCTACCACATCTATGCTGACGATATACAGCTCTACATGTCCTTTATGCCACACCAGTTGGACAGGCTGGCCACCCTTGTACTCTGCCTGACCCAGATCAGTAACTGGCTGTCCAGCAACTTTCTTGTCCTCAATGCTAACAAGACAGAGACCCTGTTCTCTGCACCCCCGGAACATCAGCCAAAAATCGAGCAAGAAATTGCCTCTTTTTGCCCATCAGCCAAGGCCAACATTAGAAACCTAGGAGTTATTTTTGATCCAGTTTTAAGTTTAGACTCACACGTCAAAACCATCTCCCGCTCTTGTTTCTTTCAACTGAGAAACATTTCAAAAGTCCGTAAACTGGTTTCTACTGCAGATCTGGAAAAAATCATCCATGCCTTTGTGTCATCACGCTTAGACTATTGTAATGCTCTTTTTACTGGTCTCAGCAAAACCTCCCTCTCACGCCTTCAAGCCATCCAAAATGCAGCAGCCAGACTCCTAACGAAATCCAGCAGACGAGCTCACATCACCCCAGTTTTACAGTCCCTCCACTGGCTCCCAGTAGAATTTTGAATACAGTTTAAAGTTTTAGTCCTGACCTATAGAGCTCTTACAAACCAGGCTCCAAGCTACCTATCTGAGCTTTTATCCCCACACATCACCTCACGGAACCTTAGATCCACATCTGAAAACCTCCTGGCTGTTCCTCGAACCAGACTGAAAACCAAAGGGGACGGGGCCTTTCAGACTATTGCCCCCAGACTTTGGAACAGTCTGCCTTCAAATCTCCGTCTCTCTAACACTGTAGAGGTCTTTAAAAATCATCTAAAAATTCACCTTTTCATCCAGGCGTTCCCTCCCTAAATGGTCTAAAAGATGGCTTTGTTCGGAATCACACCTTCACTTTGTTTATACTCATGATTTTATTTACTATTTATCACTGCTATTGTTTTTCTGATGTTTTTATTGGTTAGAGGTGTAACGTGAGGAAATATGGGTTTTCTGTGCCAAAGGTCATTTGACTCGGCTGGGTCAGGTGCTGAGTGGCACTGAGTTTCCCGTTGCGGATTTCGACCTACTCGGGGGCTCTCCTCCTCCGAGCGGGCGGGTCATTGCAGAAATCGACACTGACCTTCCACCACTTCAGCTGACACCTTTGACCTCCGACCCGGAGATAGGTGGTACACCTTCTAAGGGGCGAAACTCTAGTCAGTCTGTAAAGACTCTGGTTAAACCGGGTTTTTCTGATTCTGTGTGGGAACCTCCATCATTCTTGGGAGAAAAGTATTCTTGGCTTCAGTTTTCAGGACAGACCATGTTCCTAAAGCTAGCGTCATGTCTGTGTCTGATTCTACACATGGCTAGGTTTGCTTTGACACCCGTGACACAACCATCCTTGGAAAACTCCTTTTCAGAACCTCCAAGTCAAACACCTCCAGGTCTTTGGACATCTGAACACCTGCTCTTTCAGCACGATCCTGGTGACAATGTGCATGTCTTTGGTGAACAGGCTCTTAGGAGCCTGAGAACTGTTGTTTGTTATGCTTCTCCTGTCTCACAGACACGGCATAAGTTTGAGAAACAAAAGGGGGGTGTGAAGCCTCCTCCTGATCTTCGAGCATCGTCTCTTCATCTCCAGTTCACTCCAATTTCTGATTGCAAAAACGTCGCATCCGATAAGCTGATAAACATCCATGAACAGGTAAAATCAGGTTCTGATCTAACAACTAAACCATCCGCTTCACTCCAGTTCCAAACGGGTCCCTCAGGTAAATTCAAACAAGTTTCCCTGTGGGTTTGTAACACCAGATA